GAAGCTTTCTTTTGATTTCGTCGAAGTTTTTGTTGAAATAATGTAACTATTTGTTTAACAGCATGACTCATAAAACAATAACATAATGGATTAATTGCTGAATTAGATAAAGAAAATAATTGAAATATAGGATTAACATAAAGAACAAGAAACATTTTTTTATCTGTATTTGTTACATAGGATGAATAAATATCAATTGAATCATCTAAAAATTCTGATTTAGTCGTATTTTTATATGTATTCTCAGGTAAATATGTATTTGATGTTATATCAATATAAATTGAGAGAATATGTATTGGAAGTCGTGTAATAAAAAAGACAATAACTAAATAAATGAACGAACATATAGAAAATATTCGATTTTTTTTAGAATTTACTTACCTAAAGTAATTAGTAATTTAACAACACGTCGACGACTATGTATAAATCGACTAGCATGTTCAAAATCAATAATTGATCGACGTTGTTGAGTATTGAAAATTGATAGTCGATTATTTTGACTTGGAATTGAGGAAACACTTGAACGAATCAAACCACTTGTATATTGACTTATTGAATGTCTTTGACGTGTTGGTATTGGTCGTCCTTGTATATGTAATTGTATTTGATTTGTATTTAATGTATAATCATTTTCACTATAACGTCTTAACATAATTGTTGACGATTGACGATAATTATTTTGATCTTGTAAAATTGTATTTCGTTGTTGACGATTTGATATTAAGAATGAACGATAATCTTCTAAATTTTGTCGATTACGACAATTATCATTTGTTTTATGATAATGCATATAGATTGATCGAGGTTTTTGTATGGAATTTCGTCGAACATCATTGATTATATCTTCGGATATTGTTGAAAAACGTGCTGCATTTAATAATGTTGTTGATAATGATGATCGAACATTTCCATCAATAAACCAAAGTGAAAAACTTATACGTATATAACAATATGTCATTAATGTTAATGGTAATATAAAAAGAACAAAAAGTAATAGAAAATCATATGCTAATCGAGCATTCATATTTCGATGCCATTCTTCAGCACATGCTGTTAATGTTATATCAAATGGATCAACTATTCGATGATGTAGACTCAGCGGAATCATTAGAAAAAATGCTAGAAATTAAAAATAAAATTTTTATAACAAAAAAACATGTAAATATAGATTTACATACAAGCAATCCATGTCATTCCTATTGTTATTAATATTCGACTAGGAGTACAAAGTAATTTTGAATGTATTGGTTTATGTATCGCGATAAATCGATCAATACTAACTAAACAAACGAAAGAAAAAATGGATTTCTACGAGAACAAAAACATTCTTGTAAGCATTTACCAGCCATTAATGTAAAAATCGATACGGCTACTGATGTTCCTGAAATTTTTCAAAAAATTGATTAAAATAAGAAAAATAAAACTCTCATAATTCATAAAAGGATTTATATGTGCTACCGGAACTTCACCAATAGGACGCTCGTTAATGTCCGAAATTCCAAGATATATTGACGAAATTCTGTCAAAATGTTCATTAGTTTATATATGCTTATAAATTCAATAAAATTCTAATCTATTCATCTGTTTTATATAAATGTTTACCTTGCATAAATGGTACAAATCGACAAAGAAATTCTCCAAATATCCAACGTTTATCATAATAATGATAGGCAGTTGGGGGTAAACAAACTACTGTTGCAATTAAATCTGATATAGCTAAATTAAGTAAAAATCTATTTGTTAATGTACGCATACGTCGACGTTTTATAATCATAACAATAACAAATATATTTGCTATAAGACCAATAAGAAATATAATTGTATAAATAAAAAAAATAATACATGAAAATATTAATGATGTATGTGATTGAAAATTTCTTGTCCAAAATGTATTTGGTTCATGAGAATCATTTTGATTTGAATACATATTTTATCTAACAAATCCAGAAAAGAAAATATATTCAAATGAAATAAATAACAAAGAAATAGTTCTAATTCAAGCGAAAAAAACAATCAAATAACCTTGATGTCTCCGAACGAACTAGTATTATTTTTCCTGTTGTTAATCACTTATTATTATATATATTAGAATGAACAAATCAATGAAAATAGAACGAGAAAATAAATGCAGTTTAATAAGTAAACATTTTTCTAACATATGATTAGAGTATTCATTCGAACTGAAAAGAATTATAAAGTCTTACAATGATTTCAATCTTGAGTATATTATCTTTCGCAAAAAGAAAAAAATGTTGTCTGATAGAAACAAAAGAGATTCATATATATATATTGTCTTACCTTTTCATTTACTATGAGAAGAATAATTTAAGAGAAAAGAAAAATACTATTCTTAGATATACTGTTATTAATAATGATAATGATAATGTTAATAATATTTCTCTATTGTCGATACTATCACATCTACTCATTCTTCTTTCTATTCGTATTTCAACCACCCCCACATATATATAATTCTTAGTCGTTCATTGCTCATTTCCGTTTTACATCTGTATGAACATATGTTCATCGTTCTTCACATTAATATTTACATTTACTCACGCTATCGTAATATTTGAAATTAATTCTTTTTTTTTTTTGTTATATTGAAAAAAATAATAGATCAAACAATTATACCACTCTTAAAAGTATTAAGAAAATTTCTTGTTTAATAGAATAATCATTGATCATCACTGAAAAACCAAGACTTATATAAATCAAAAAAAGGAATTATCGACATGCGTGTAACACATCAAAAACATGCAAAAATGTAATAAATTTATTATGAGATTTTCTTGTTTTTTTGTATTGAGATTATTCTAAATTATACTAAATAAGTCGTCATGACATATTCAAAACAACAAAAACAGACTAGACGATTCTTAAATTTCATTCGTATTATAATATTTTTGTCTTTCGAGTAGACATCTATTTTTTGATCATGAAAGTGTAGGGCGTACTATCAAATATCTTATTCTTTTCATTTATTCATTAATAGTACACGAACTATAAAGAATATTCATTAGAAAAAAAAAGGAAACGGAACATGAGTTAATGACGCAGGAATACCAAAAATAGATCTAGATTATTTATATGAGAAAGTAAATGTGAAGTATAAACGATCGATTGCCAAAGATTACCATCATTTATAAGTTAATAAATATATATGCTTTCACTTTTAAACTTTCGATATCATATCAAAATATTTTATACATAATAATTTCCAAAGCAAAATATCAAATTGTTATTGATCATGGCATTATTCTCATTTTGTGCATGAATGAATAAGAATAGGAGATTTCAATAAGATTATTTATAATAAAAAAACACTATCATTGATTAATATTTTTTCAAGTACTGTATCAAAATTTCCTTTGATATGAATATTCACTGATCGGTTCTGTTAATTAGTTTTATTCATCTAGATATATTAACTCGAATATTGTAAAACATCTGATAAAAATTGTTGTATCGATATATATATATGTTTTATAGAGCGACACTTAAACAACGCCATCTGTTATTTAAACTTCAAAACTCTAATTTGTCAGAATATACTACCATTGACACATTCTCGAGAATATTTATTTTGGACACATAGACATTCAAATAGAAACTTAGTACTGCTGACGTGGATTATAAATTAATTTATTATTAACAAATATGGAAAATATTGCTCTTTCGGATTCTAATGATGATTTAAGCAATGAAATTATTGGAGATAGTAGTCAATTTCGACCACCTCCTGGGATGTTTGCTGAACAACAACATGTTGCATCGGAATTACAAGATGCTGCTAATACTGACGTAACTAGAGGTATATTTTATTTATTAATATTGATATAAGACTTTTTCCAATATACTTTCTTTTTATTTTAAAGCACCATTTATTAGTTCGGCAAATACTCCATTTAAACCTCTTTTTCCAGCACCAAATAATTTAACACAAGTTCCATCCGGTGGTTCTCCATTATTATTTCAACAAAAATCAAATAATATTCCTAGTTTAAATCCACTTCTTCAACCACTAACATCAGTTCCAAATTTATCATCACCATTAATTCAACCTTCGTTTCGTCCACCAACAGCTCCAACTGGATTTCAACCACCACCATCACTAATTTCATCGGCATTCACACCATTGAATCCTGCTAATAATCAACAGTCATCATCATTAATTCAACCTAAATTAACAATTGGTAGTCAACAAAGTTCATTTATATCACCTGTTGAATATCCAACACCAAGATTTCCTACAACACAAGGTTTAGAAACAACAAATATGCCACCACCATCGATACTGTCACCTCCAACACAAGATTTTCCCAATACTCAACATGATACACAACTGATACCTCCTCCTATGAAAGATATGCATCCACCAATACCTCCACCTCCACATCAAGTCAACACTTGTAAATAAATTTTCATTTAAATCAATCAAAATTTTTCTTTGATCTTTTCAGCAACAGCAACAAATCCTTATTCTGCTCGTGCTTCATTAAGTGAACGTATTTATCCAAGTATGCCAACTTCACAAGCTCCACTTCAACCACTACAATTACCTCCACCAGTTAGTTTTCAACAACAACAACAATTTGTACCTCCACCAACTAACAATATGTTCATTCCGCCACCACTACCACCAGCACCACCACTAGCTGTTGCTAGTTCGACTTTACCAAATGTTTATCCAGGGTATATGATTAAATTATTTCATTGAGATAAACAATTGATTTTCTTTCTTTTAGAACTGATACAAATATTTACACTCCATCATATCAAACACCAGGTAAATTGAAAAGAAATAGTTTATTGTTAGATTTTCTTGTTTTATAGGTGAACCTAATCCAACACCTTGGTCAAATTATCCAATATCATCAGGATATGATCAACAACAACAGCAGCAACAACAAGATCCATTATCTGCCAATCCAAGTGGTATTTGGGGTTGGATTAGTAATAATAAAATGCTTGCTACTGTTGTCGAAAAAGCAAAGGTAACATTGATAATACAAATACGAAATCAGTAATCTAGCAAAATACTTCCTTTCTCTTACGTTAAATTTCTAACATTAGAAAAATGCTATGACCTAATATGATTTTATAATTTCTTATAGACTGGTATCGAAACAGTTATTACAACAGTCGATCCTCAAATGAAACAATATATTCGTATGTATATCTTCTATAATTTTTCTAATACTAATTGTTGTATTTTTCCAGAACCAGGACATGAAGTTCATATAGTAGTTACATCAGCTAAAGATGTTAAACTTACACCTGTACGAGATGCATTTACACATGTATTTGGTCGTGCAACAACTCAAGGCATTGTAAGTTTTTTATTTCGAATATATTTTTATTGTATGAAATTTTATAGGGTGTTCAATCAAATGTTGCTCCTCAACCCATTGGTTTTGAAGCTGGTTTTAAAGGTTTATTATTACTATAGATAAATTTCAAATTCTATATATTATTATTTTCAGGTGCTCAACAACGTATCGAAAATCTTCGTCGTCAAAATGTTGTTCGACCTGATCAATGTATTGTTTCAATTGAAAATTTTATTGCTGAACTTGTTCCCGATATGTATTTTGATCTTGGTTATGTTCTTTTATCTGATCCATTAAATTCAATTGAATTACATCTATTTACTCAAGCGATACCTGTACCTATTGAATATGTTTATCAAGCTCGTGATCGTACACCAGCTGATTATCCATTAAAATGGAGTGGTTACATGGTAACGATTGGTGAAATTCTTCATTCTCAAATTCCATTTATTAATCCGGAAGATTGGCATGAAACAATGAGTGGAACATCAAGAAGAGATATTATATATGCAACATGTAAATCTCTTGCATATATGTATAAACAAAGACTTAATCGAAAACAATAAAATACATTATCTTTATAGTTATTTCATTATTTTTATTCTTCTTTCTCTTTTTTTTTTTGAAAAAAAAACTCAGCAAAACAAAAAGAATATATTTATGTGAAAATTTATCTTTTATTGCTCGTATATGTTGTTCATTTTTTCTCAGTATGTTATTCAATTAGATAAATAAGAAGAGAACATTTTATTGTTATTTATAAATATTATTTAAAGAACATTATTGATAAATATGTTTGTTCTGTTTTGTTATTTGAAAAAAGATAAGATCTTTCTCGATTGCTTTCGTACAAGTTTGAATTGTTTTGTTTAAGGAACCCGTCTCGTGTTATTTCGATTATTAACCATGATTATTAAAAACATGTGACTTCAGAAACACTTCTCAACTGGTTTTATTGAAGTATAGATTTACAGAGAATTTCAATCGGCATTATTCATGATTTGTAATTTAAGATCTACCTATCAAATAAATTGAATCTATTTGGTTGCCAAAGAAATATTCTATATTTATTTTTTTAAGAAATCTCATAGATACAAACATTTATATCATGATAGTTTTCTTTGAAAGGACTAAAAAGTATTAAATGTTCTAAGCAGTCGACAAGTATCCATTTGTGGAAAGAAGGCAATCCGAATAATTGTTGAAAATAACATGATATAGACCTGTGGCTTTCACCATTCACAGGGCATTTAATAGTTTCAAATATTAGGCCTACACAAAAAATTTAGTATATAAAGTATTTATTCACAATCTTCATGATGCTCCGGTTCCGTAGTAGTACAATCGACAGCCCTGATTTCTATCTCATACAGTTCAGACGTTATTGGCATTCCACAGATAGACAATAGTGCTGAAAATACTCGACAAGCCGATTATCAAATGCGATGGGCGTCATAACAACATATAAACAGATGCATCCTTGAACAAGATTTGCCTTGAAATACTCTAGAAGATTGGCGAGTGTATGGATAGAATAAAGTCAATATACCACTCATACCCACATCTTTACGTAAATTTTTCTCCAAGTCGTAGAACATCAACATCTTTTTATAAAGACTTAAATTAACAGATCTTTCTAATCCATAATAAGTAGAATTGTCAAAAGTGAATTTTCATACTTAAATCAGGAGACTAGTGACATCTTCTTATTATTTCTTTTCAAAAAATAAAACATTTAATATGTAATATCTCTCATTAATAAAACATTATTTTTTTATTTACTTAACCAGACATTATATGAGTATAAAATAAATGAGATCTTCATTTCAATGATAATATTACTCACTCACTCATTTATTCGTTCGAGTATATTTGTTCCTATTTTCAATTGGATACACATCAAGAGCTATACCAGAACATCGATTGTCAAAGGTAATGCAACCATCTATGTCGTCGATAATTCAAGATATTTTCCAAATTTCCAATCATCAAATACAACATATTTCACAAAATGAAATTTGATATTTATACGATATTACCGGAGTTTTTGTATGAAAATAGCAATAGCTGTTGTTCAAATTTTACATGAATATAATCATAAACGGAAAAAACCAGCATGTGAAGTTTTATGTCGTATTAAAGATTATGATAAACGAACCTGTTGTTTTCGTTGAAATAATTTTCAAGTAAGAGAAATCTCCTTTTAGAATTAAGAATAAAATTAATTTTTTTTAGTTAAAACGAAAACCTGCTAGATGTTTTCTATACATATGATGAAACAGTGCGTATATTGTCTTTATTTTATAAATTAAATTTCGATTCTTCAGGTATTATTTAAAGATTCATTATCGACTAACAACATCTACAGAGAAATTCAGTCTAAAACTACAATAAACATTGAACTGAAATATTCGTAAATTGCTTTTTATGATGATAATACTTAGATTGCTTATACGGATTAATACTATTATTATATCCCTACATATTTATTAATTTTTCCTTGAATTAATATTATAGTGTTAAAATTTATATGTATTTTTATACTAAGATAAATAATAAAAGTCAAATATTTGATTTCTTATTGTTTTATTACCAACTGATTTATAGTTTATGATAGATACTAAATGAAGTAAACATTAGATTCCCTTATAGTTATAAAAAAAAGCAGTATCATTAGTGTGTCGGGTTAGTTTCTTATGAATAGAAATATCCAGTATCAAGAGTAGAGTTACAGAAAATGAGATCATGGATCATAATTCTCTATTCATAGTTTTTAATGAAATTAGAGTATAGACCGTAAAATGAAACCAATTTCAAAATAATGTTAACATTTTTACATCACACGTTCGAGATTTTATGCTTTTAAACAGCCACTAACTTTCTTTTACTATCAGATTAAACTAAAATTCTGTATTCGATATAGATATATTTTATTATTTTTAAAGAGTATATAACAATTTTTTCATTGTATCACTAATAATAAGTCCATCTAATTTTCGACCTAAATTCTCGAAATCACATTTTTCTATTGTATCTTTTGTTAGACGATCATCAATGTAATTTTTATGGGAAGGTGATAAATTATATAACATTCGTTCACAAAATGCTAATATACCAGAATATGTATTAAATGTAAATTCATATTCTTGTTCATCTAAATTAATTAATTCACAAAGATAATCAAATTTTGTATGTGTAAAATTTTCTTGATGTAAATCCACTAATGATAGAAATAAATTCGATGAATGGAATTTATGTTTTTGATTACGATATTTATTAAATATACGTTTAAATTGATATTGTCGACGTGATGATAAATGGCAATATTTACTTAAATATTCAAGTGGTGTTAATGTTTCAAGTAATTTTAAATCAAATGGTAATTCAAATCGGCAAGCCTAGAAAAAAAGGATCGTTATTTTTATATATTTAATTAAATAGTTTTAACAAACTTGTTGAGATAAAGGCATAGGACCAATAATTTCGGCTGTAGCGCTATGTTTTATTTTATCTAATAAATCGAATGTTTCTTGATTTTCTTTATGTTTGCCACTTTTATTCTTCTGACTATAAATTTTACCAATTGTATCAGAATTTTTATCGATAGTTCCTAATTCCGTACTATCTAAAGATTCATTTTCATTCGATATACTTTGTTGTGAATTTAATTTTGCATCATTTTCTGTTGTTTTACTAACTGATGGTTGTACTGCAATTTTTTCTGGAATAGAATTGTTGTCATTGTTTGATTGTTTTATTTCTGTACTATCATCATTTGGTTTTATTGATAATCTTTTCGATTGTATTTTTGATGATGGACGACAATTTTTTTGAGAAAATGGTGGAGTATCAGTTCTTTTAACAAGTATTGATTTTGGTAGTATACCATTTTCTGTACTTTTTGGTGATGATGATCTTTCTAATTTTTGATCAGTAAATATAACTTGTCTTGTTCGATCAGTTCTATATACTTTTGTGTTGCTCATTTTAGATGAAAATTTAAAAAATAAATGTTATATGTTTGTGACTATAGAGA